CTTTGCACACAACTGCAATTTCAGATGCAGTAATCCGCAGATTCTTGCCATTGGAAATCGCAGGGTGTTCTAATCACTTTTGTAAATGTAGCCTAAATTCCTCAACTGGATTTTCCTAACATTGGTAACATGTATTAGTGGAGCTTGAATTGGTTTGGATCAGGAGCAGAAACACCGCCTATACACAAACACTAAATTCCTCAACTGGATTTTGATATGCATTAATTTTGTTAGATCAAGTATTTTTAAAGTAGGTCCTCAGTTACCAAAATTAGGCCAGCTCTGTACATTACTCCCAGTGACAATAGCTACGTGTATGAATATATTTGGATTTAGGAATCCCATCAGGTTTTGTATTGCTTTGCCCCCACTAGGAATATTTCCTGTCTCCAAGACACTTGGACAAGAATTGGAAGCAAGTGTCATTAGGACAGGAAAAGCACAAAATGTGAAAATTAAACTTCAGGCAGATACAAAAGTGATAAATGAATGCAGATCTCTATTCATTAATACATGTAAGTATTAAAAGTTGACTTGGTTTTTGCCTCTTGAAATCTATGGCACAGCTCAGATTGGGAGAAGTAACAACAGCATAAGGAGTCAGGGAGTTGGGTTGTAATGCTAAAGTGCTAGCAAGTAACATGCTGTTAGGAGAGCAGAATGACAGTGTTGAACTTCTTATCACAGGCTGGTAGAGCAACAAGACCTGTAAGTGTTACTTAAAGGAGTTCTATGGTCACAGCACACACTTTCATTTAGTAACATCAGCATTGTAAAAGCAATACAAACTATAGTTATTCTTGACAATTCAATATAAGTTTACTTAAAAAATCTCCTTCTGTGTTGTGAGTTCTGCCTCTCTGCTGGTCATCTCTGTCCACAACTTAATGGATTCTCTGCATGTTTTGCAGCTTCTCCTCTTCTCTTTACTTTCACTTTCTAAAGACTACATATCCCATAGTACATTGCTGCCTTCACCAGTGATCCCTATTCTGTCTCCACCTTCTGAAACTCCTCCTTTCAGCACCTCTTCCTTTCAGAAGGCTGGCTCTGTGAATTCTGTGACACAGCAGTGCCTGCTCACAGGGCATAGTGAATATGTATCACAGAATTCATGTAAATCAATGTGTGGATTTCTGTTAAAAAATAACAGTAAATGTGTGGGAGCTATTCACAAAATGTATAAAGCTTCAAGATCATTCATATTAATAGGGGTGTGCTAGAAATAATTGGAAATACAATGTGGACAACCCTGACCTCTTGCTCTGTAAACATCCTCACAATGGAATCAGCTTTTAAAACTGCTACAAGATGGTACTCGGTCCCGGCCCATCTAGCGCACTTCCATTCCTCTTTTCCTGGCAATTGCTTCTGTGGCTGTACTACCATGGGAGATGTCCTACACACAGGGTGGACATGCCCTATGTTCTCCTGGTTCTGGTCAAACGTCCTTAAATTCTTACACTCCCTACTAATTTGTCCTTTTCTTAGAGATCCTTGGTATGTCCTTCTCCACCTGAAACCCCCAGGCCTTTCAAAACTCCAATTCAAGTTGGCTATGTATGTAATATTGGTTGCCAAACAAACTATAGCAAATGCCTGGATACAACAATTCATATATTTTAAGGAAGTCCATCGTCACATAGACTTTTTCCTGGTAAATGAAAAGCGCTCTAGCATCCTCTCTAACACCGAGAGATTTATCAAAACATGGACTCCATGGATTCAACATGCCTATCCAGCTATATGAATAGATAATTTCATTTTACTTTAACTCTGGTGGCCCCACAACCCAGAGACAAGAGCTTCAGACGTTCTCCTCTAGATCTTTTCTTGACTCTTTCTCCTCATCTCTTTCTTTTCCCTTTTTTAAATATATATATTATCTGCTCTTCTGCAGGGATGAATCATGATATGCTCTATATTTTTAGATTCAAATGTATACTTTATGCATTTCAAATGTTATTTTTTCACTGTTGTCAGCCGCTCGGCCGTGGGTGTATAGTCTTCCTGCACCCTTGTGCTGCAGTACTGACTTGAAGTGTTTTGTTGTTTCAGTTATCTCTCCTTTGACATACAAATTACTTGTTTTTACTCATGGATATATGTTCCAATGCACGACCGCAATTTACTGTTAGTTAATTTCTACTTCATGGTTTATGTACACGATAGCGGTTGTATTTGTATAATTTAAACCAAAATTATTCAATAAAAATGTATTAAAATGAAATACAGTGTGAAAATTGATATGTTTTAAATTTTGACCACAGATGCATTTTACCCGCACTAAACAAAATTCAGGTCTCCTGCCTTGCAGGACAGGGCTGCGCTGTGCGTCAGAGCTGTGTATATAACAGAATGGACAAAATTACTAATTCTTTGCCAAGTAGAACATATTCCATGTGTTTATTTATCTGTGTATTTAGCTGTCTGCCTAGACCAGTGGTTCTCAACCTTCCTAATGCCGTGACCCTTTAATACAGTTCCTCATGTTGTGGTGACCCCCAACATAAAATTATTTACCCAGTAATTATAATTCATGAGTGTCGTTTTACCTCCAATACTGCTGCTTTCAATACAGTAGCTGCTTTTAACAGAGTAGCTGCTTTCAACACAGCAGCTGCTTTCTACACAGTAGCTGCTCTTTACACATCGGAAATATGTGTTTTCTGATGGTCTTAGGGGACCCCTGTGAAAGGGTCGTTCGACCCCCAAAAGGGGTCGCGACCCACAGGTTGAGAACCACTGGCCTAGACCCTCACCTTGTAAAACAACCAATTATGTTTAAAATAAAAATGAAAGTCAAAACATTTGTTTATAGGTATAAAAAATATCATAAATACCTTTTTTTCCCCCTGTTATGTAAGTGATCACATACCTTCTGTTCTCAGCTGCAGAAGAGCTAGGGAAGGAGAAAAACAGCAGCACAATGATCTTCCCTGTGAATGGCTGTGTGGGGGGTTCCCCCTGGCTCCTGCCCGCAAAGATATAACAAGTTAGTGGAGCACTAACCCTTGCCTCTCCGGAGCCAAGCCCAGTGTCTTCTTTTCTTGTGTGGGAAGCTTCACCCTACAGTAGTGCACAGCCTTCTCGGACTCCATGGCAGAGCCTCACCAGGTCCTCAAGTGGCGCTGCTCCCCTGAAAACTGCCGCCCTAGGCCTTGTTTGCCTGTGGTAAATACGCTGCTGGGTACAGCAGGCATATGAAATGTTGCGTTCACATATTCTTTAAGATTATTAGATATTGTGCATCTTTGGAAAAAGAGTATCTCTCTTCCTGCCGAAGAATAGAAATATATATATATATATATATATATATATATATATATATATATATATTGCTGTAAACAAAAACAGCATAACAATGTTCATGTGGTGGTGCAATTTATGATGCCCCAGGATCTACGTAGAACACTTTCCAGGCTGATAGCTGTGCTGGGACTACACATCTCAGTATGACATAACAGCTAGCTAGAGGGCCATATTCTGGTCTAAACAGTATTGTGCTTCTGAACAGTAGATTTCAATGTAATTATGTTATCCCTGAGCATTATTGTCAAAATTTTGGGATGCATGAATTCAAAGCAAATGATGTTTAGAAAAACAGATAAAAGTGTAAAATGTCCTGCAGTTGTAAATGAGCAAATAAGTACAGTCATGCTTGTGAATGATATGTACAGTCATACATTTTCTTAATTCTTCTTCTTGGTTCTGAATCTCGCAAACACTGTACTCCTCAGCCAATAAGTAAAAGACACATCCAGAATAAAGGGCCAGGGACGGGTGTGTCCCCCAAGCATATCTCTACTAAACAAACAATGGCAACCTGGAGAAAGGGAAAGGTGTGATGATGGGGGCAGTTCTTAGCTTTCACTGAGCTCTGGGTTGGGTCAGTCAGACTGCAGGGATCAGGACATCCTGGTTTTAAGGCTGACGTTGATCTTTGGCAAACTGCTCAGCTCTGAGTATAAATAGATGTTCAGCTGTAACCTGCAATACTGATCAACCTGGTGGACTTCTGACATTGCCAGAGGCAGCCACAAGCCACAGGTGAGTAAGACACAGTCCAGCAACAAAGAAGACCTTTTACAGTCATTTCCTCAATTTCTCTTTTTTTTTTAAAAACCTGTTATAGCAAATTCATTGCATACTTAAAGATGTATTTATAGAAAACATTACTTTTGGAATATTTCATACAGTAACAAGAGTTGTTTGTATATTGTCCATACAACGGTTTTGACAGCTTTGGCATCTTGCCTTATAGGAGAAATCTGATATTATTGCTCTTCAGTACTATAGCTGTATATTTATCTTTACAGACACCATGAATTCCAACCTGTCTTTTTGTTGCCTGCTAATCCTCCTGTGTACTGTGATGAATGAGGCTGCCACCAGAAAGCCAAAAAGACAGCCAGCACCTGATACCACTACTGCACCAAAGCCTGATACAGAATCTACTGAAGCCCCTACCGCTCAGCCCAAAACTCTGGACAGAGGTGAGTGTTTGAGTGGGATCTTACTGGGGGTGGTCTTAGTGGAAAGGTACACACTTATTATCCTCACACCAGCAAAATCCTTGCAATAGTGGAGACATTACAGATTGCTGTTTTTTTTTTTAATTGCAATATTGAGAGCAAATGAATATGATTTCTTATTTTCTTTGTAGGCTGGGGCAGTAACATTGAGTGGATCCAGACCTATGAAGAGGCCTTAGCCAAGGCCAGGGATTTGTAAGTAAATCCTTTGTGCCTTCACATGCAGAGACACCTGTATGTTTTTTTTTTATCACCATCATAAGGTCAAATCCTCACAGGTATAAGTGGATTACAGTTTTGTTGTCAAACCTGAAACAAGAACAATTTAGTTATAAAATTTTATTACACTTTAGATATAAAATCACTAAACCAGGCGTGTTTGCAGCAAAAGCTTAAAAATAGCCATATAGCTTTTATTATAACCTTTGTCTTTTGTCAATAATTCTTTACAGAAAGAAACCTCTTATGGTGATTCATCATCTTGAAGACTGTCCCTTCAGCCAAGGTAACTTTATTCATAATTATTTTTGTAAATTATAGGAGTAAAACTTAAACACTATGTAGGGAAATGTGATATGGAACCAATGCAACATTTGTTGAAACATGCATTGCCCTCTAAAAACCAGCAGGAAAGACCAAGCTTGCCGTGGGCTCAGTAACGTAGAATGCCATCCTTAAAGAATACAATTCCAGCTTCTAGTGCCTAAGGAAAAACATAAAGCTAATAAGCAGAGCTGATAAAGCAAAATATTAGTTTTTTTTCTTGCCATCATAAATGCATAAAGTAAGCTTCTGGTGTAATTAAATTATTTCCAACCTCTGCTGGTTGATAATTTATGAGGCCGAGCATTGTAACCAAAAAAGTACATTGAACACTCTCACCAGAATGTTCTCTTTTGATTTTGGTACCCTGCTGGGTTTGGTGACAACCTTAGTGTCATCCTATCTTTAAAACAGTCCTGAACATAAGCTGGAGCTGGGAAATGTTTAAGATCCCAGCAGCAGGTGGTATAACATGGTTGAGCAGAGCCAGCAGAGTGCCTGGTTTTTAAAAAAAATCCTGAAAAATCATCATATACTTCATGCTCGTTCATTGTCAGCAACTCACTATGTAGTGACTAAGGGATGACAGCCCTGGGGTAGATGTGTCAACACAGAAATATGAAGTGTCCACATTATTCATATATAGCAGCTACATTCCTATGGAAAGCAACATCTGATCAGCTGGAAAACATTTTTCTTTCAAATGTTTTGGTTTTGTAGGCAGTACAAATGAACACATGGCTGGAACAAGATTGAGAACTTGAATCCCTACTAATATGTAGCAATAGGATTTAGTGCTCTACATCTATCTGTTTTGATCTGATATTTTACCAATGGTCAATAAAACTGATTATTTTATTTTCTCTCCCATATCCAGAACTAAAAAAAGCTTTTTCTGCCGACACCATAGCACAGAAACTGGCCCGTGAAGACTTTATAATGTTAAACGTAGTGGTGAGTTTCCTAGTAGTTTTCTGCAGTTTATACCTAGTGAATTACAAAATTACATACAATTAATATTACAAAAAAATAATGTATACGAGTATATAATGAGGCACAGGATAACATCCCTCCAGTACTTTCACTATTAGAAGTTAAAGAGAAAGGATAATTGCCTGCAGCAACAAAATTACAGTAAAATTATTCCATCTATATTTACTCTTTGCTTACAGCACCCTATCGCTGATGATAACCAGTCTCCAGATGGACATTATGTACCCAGAGTCTTATTTGTGGGTGAGTTCTGTTCTCATTGAGAATACAATTTTGTCTTGATTTGGACTGTTTGTAACATCCCAAAAATTTGTCTGATATTCTGTTCTTCACTTATCAAAATATGTGAAATAAAAACGGTCCTATTTAAGGCACTTTACCCAGTTAGACCCACAGTGCCTTCTTCTATCTGTAATAGCGAAGTCCTTATATTGTCAGCATTCCACTATTTCAGGATAAAGCTGCAACTGTTAGAAACAAAAAGGGAAAGAATGTGTATTCTACACGTTTTGGTTGAACTATGGTTAGACTTTATACAGGACCAACAGTTTGCTCAGCGCTTTACAATATAACGAGAGACAATACAGTTCAATACAAGAGGGTTAGGGGGGCCTGCTCCTTGGAATTGATAATCTATGAGGGAGGGGCTAGTGGTACAAAAGGTAATAACTGTGGGGGATTGACTGGTAGGAGGAAGAAAAGATTCCATTATTAGCTGAGGGCAGGATAGGCTTCCCTGAAGAGATAGGTTTTCTAAAAGTGAGCAGATTAGGCAATAGTCTGATAAATTGGGGTAGAGAGTTCCAGAGGATGGGGAAGGCTCTGGAGAAGTCCTGGAGACGAGCATGGGAGGAGGCGATAAGGGAGCTAGAAAGTAGGAGGTTGTGCGAGGAGCAGAGAGTACGGTTTGGGTGATATTTGGAGACAAGATTGGTGATGTAATTTGGGGCAGAGTTATAAATGGCTTTATATGTTATTGTTAATGTTTTAAAGTTTATTTGTTGGGCAACGGGAAGCCAGTGGAGGGATGGCAGATATGGAATGGTTAGCAAGGTGGATGAGTCTGGCAGCAACATTCATGACAGACTGAAGAGGGGATAGCCTGCGATGAAGTTAGGCCAATGAGGAGGGAGTTACAATAGTCAAGGCAAGACTTGAGTTTGAATGCATTAGGGCAGAACTTACATGTCCTACTTTTTTGGAATTGCATAGTCTTTGCATTGTTTTTTAGGTATACATTTCCTAAGATATCAGTTTGATGTAAATAATCTTATGCAATAATCAATATGCATTGTTATAAAACCTTGTTTCTATAAACATTATATATATCTACATTGGGGCAGCCATATTTCCTTACTATACTGCATGTGCACGTCATACCTAGCAGTATTATACATTACTTGTGCTTTACTGCTCCTTCTCACAATGCAAGACTATCAATTGGCTGGCTCATTAAAAACAAATCCCTCTTTTTCTGGCTGATAATTTCTCTGAACATACCTTCAGCAAAACCTTTCCGTTATGGGGGAATGCCTAGGCCTTCTCACAAGCTCTGGCACATTGTAGTTGTGAAGCTTTCCACTACCTCGCTGCCTTTTTGTTTCTCTACTGCCTTCTGACATAAAGACACTTATTAGTTAACAAAAAAGCTACCTAAACATGTGCAACAACATATCTCCTAATCAAAAGACTTCTGGCATAAAAGCTAACTACAGAACTAGCATGAAAATTGAACGTTTAACCACACATCTAGTTTTTCACTCCTGTGCACAGACAATACATGCTGGTCTTCTGTGTATGTGCTTATCAATAAGATGCAACCAGCATCTTACCATGGGAGGGGAGAAGAACAGCACTCTATTGATTAGGTTATAGATTCAAACACAAGTAAAATGTTATCTATTGAGATCGGATTCCTGTTTTTACTGACATCATACCGAAAGGGTATTCACATGCTATGTCCACCTTAACGCCTTGATTCTGTCATAATAAACCATGTGCATTCCTATCGTAAGGTGTATGTCCACCTTTAGCAAAAATAGTTCTTTATGTTGAAGAAAATTTGCTCTATTTAAACCTTATGCATTTTACAGTTTTAGAACTGTGTTTGCATTGCATTTGACATTAGTGATTTAATAATCATAGAGATGTTCAAATGAAAAGCATTTCCGAGAGTTCTAGCTGTAATAGTTGCACAGTTATTGAACTGCTCTAGGCTGTGGTCTTTGTCATTTACTATTGTTTTGTCACTTTCTCATGGATATGCTTTTTACAGATCCATCCATGACTGTCAGAACAGACCTTGCAGGAAGATACTCAAACAGACTGTATGCCTATGAAGCTGGAGACATCCCAGAATGTAAGTACTGCTGGAAAACAGCTTTGTGTATATAAGGAGATAAAGATAACGTGAAAAAGAAATCATCTGCAAGTTTTTTTGGTTACTGAACGATTGCTTACTTAAAGACTTGGTAGAGAGGAAAAGTACAGGTGTTCTTTATAGTGACAAATCAGAAGCCATTTGACATAATTTATTGTGGATTACAAAATGTAATCTGCCTGATTACTGTAAGCAACATGCCTAGCCCACAAGCGGTGCAGCAATTCCTATTTTTAAATAGTATCCATTCTGTTAGGGGCAGGGGTTGGCTGTATTCACCAATGCATAGTAGAATACATTGGGAAATGCAATTGCTGATCCACCTTTGAAAATACTAGTTTGCTGGTTTTTTTTGTTGATATTTGGTCTTCAGTTATTTTAAGACCTGTAATAGGTATACAAACTGAAACTCCGCTCTTACTACAAGCTTGTTCACAGTCTATGATTTAGACCAGGGGTCTCCAAACTTTCTAAACAAAGGGCCAGTTTACCATCCTTCAGACTTTAGGGGGGGGCCAGACTGTGCCCATTGGAGTGAACAATTTCCCTTTGTTTGTGTCATTTGGAGGAATAGTGTCTCCTCATTGGTGTCAGTAGAAGGAAAGTGCCTGATTGTTGCTGTCAATAGGAATGATGGTGCCCTATGGTTGATGTCAGCGGCAGGAATTATGCCCCATTGTTGATGTCAGTGGGAGAAAAAAATGCCTTAACGGCCAGATATAGGCAAGCAAAGGACCACATCCAGCCCCCGGGCCTCAGTTTGGAGACCACTGATTTAGACAATGTCAGACAGTGATAGCCAAGCATCCAACATTTTCAGAAGGCGGCCCTCAATGGCAGCATACATAATTTTTCTTCTGGCATTTTTTTTTTTTTTGCATTTATCTTACCCTGTGAAAAAAAAAGGTGACTGTATTGCTTCATCCACTCTACATGCAAGTTACTTATCACTTATTGTTAGCATAATATACTAATTCTAATACCATCATGGATGATGATGTTAATATTGCCTTTCCTTATATTTCACCAACAGTGGTTACAAACATGAAGAAAGCTAAAATTCTCCTGCACACAGAGTTGTGAGTGCTCAGAGAAAGGAGTCTTCCACTGATCCAATGGTGACCAGGAAAGCACCGCATAGCACAACCCAGGAAAGACCAGCATGTCCCTATTTGAACAGTCCCCCACCCAATATGACACGTGGTGAACTTGATCAAGAACTCCTAGCATCCTCTTTTACCAGGTTTACTGTTAAAGTTCCCAGACACACACTGGCTTTATTCACAGATATTTAATATTCTTGTACCTGTATGCTCTCCCCTAGTTAACTGAAAAGATCCATAATGCACAATTTGAACTTACCATGTGTTTTATACAGTGCTGTATAAACAGAGCAACGCCCATCAGTCAATATTAGCCTACAATTCATACTATAAATAATTTATGCAGATGCCAGTTCTTTGCTGGAATCTCTTGAATTTACAACCTTTTACAGTCAGAAGTGTAGCCCTTATTTCTTTCTCACATAAAATATTTTGCCTAAATTGTATTCTATTGATTTGTGATATTTTATACAATCCTCCTAATTCTGGTAGGTAGGCGTAGTGTCACAGGTGTGATGTCACTAAACATAGGCACATTAGGGGCTCCTGTTCAGTTTTTTGCACACACTTCTTTGGATCAACAGTTCACCTCCTCTGTAACTTTATACATTTTATATGAATATATTTACTATGTATTTTTAACTGTATCAAATAAATGTTTTATCAGAAGCACTATGTCTTCTCTGTGGTTAACTGCACATTAATAAATACAAGTTTATTAGTAAGCAAATTTTATTGCATGAGGTCTACTCCCAAAGGACCAACCTAGCCAGAGCTTTTCCTTCTACAGAATTTAAAGGGAAGTTACAGAAAATTTTTATATGAGAATAGTTTTTGTGTGAGATTAGTGATATGAATATGAAAGCACTCATGTTTGCTCATCAGATTTACAATCTCCAGTCCCTAATTAATGTTGCTGCCCAATGGTTCTGCTTTTTTGTATAAACAAAATCTGAGTCCACAGACCGACTGAAATCAACATGCACTCCCTGTCTGGCTATCTTTCTTGTCCGGATCACAATTTCCAAATACAAAGATGAAGGAGGTTTTAGACTCCCCCCACCCCAAACTAAAATTTTTTTTAGTTTGTTATGTTCCTGTTAGAGTGAGGGATGCAACATAGACCCAATTTACCACCCTGTTCATAACTAACAACTTTTTGCTGCGATTGCACTTTAAAGGCTAACTTTAAATTTATTAACATGTTACTATGCACCAGCCTCCACACCTCCCACATCCCCCCATTCTCTACTCCGCACCTGCTGTCACAAATTAAAGACAGCATGATTATATGGAATTCAGACCACAAAGCCATGTCATTCATTTACAGAAATCTGTGAATGAATAAACTACAAGTCCCATCTGCCACCTCCGTAGCTGGCTTGCAGTTAGTTCACAATGAACTGTAAGGGTGCTGGTGAGTGCTCTCATAGTTTACCGACACTTCCTGCAGCTTTCACCCAGAAAGCCCAGACAGAGGTATGGGTAAAAAGCTATAGGCAATGTCTGCAGGAGCATTACATTGCGCCACCCATCTGCTGATTACGATTGAAATGCTCTGCATGATCCCGAGGAAAAAAATAAATAAAGTGCACATTTTTTTTTATCTGCAAAAGCATGTATATTGATTGTTTTTAAAACATGAACTTAGCCTTTAAACAAAATAGGAAAATACTGTAATTGATCTAAGCCAGCGATAGCTCACTTCAGTCTACACATCTCTCTTTAACCGCTTGCCCTCCACCTTAGAGCATAAATACTGATACAGGGTGACAGGGCTGTGCAAAATCAGGTATATATACGTGATTTACATTTCCGGGTAGGGGGCGCACGCTATTGGCAGCTAGAGATGTCAATCACCGGGAATTGCCGGCTGGAACTTGGTGATTATCCGGGAAAGCTGACAAGGGAGAGACCTGTGTGTAAACAACACAGGTCTCTCTCCTGTCAGCATGGACATGCAGTTTTGTATTATTCTCTGCAGAGCGGAGAGATACAAAACAGCATATTTCCCTAGTAAAACACAGCACACAGCAAAACACAGCACACAGTTAACCCTTTGATAGCCCCAGGTGTTAGCCCCTTCCTGCCCAGTTTCATTAGTACAGTGTCAGTGCTTTTTATTAGCACTGATCACTGTATTACTGTCACTGGGTATGTCAGTGGCAGTTAGTCAGTTCCCCCCCAGTGTCAGAATGCTCTCCACAGTCCTGCTATAAGTCGCTGATTGCCGCCATTACTAGTATAAAAAAAAATTAAAATTCCAATATATATACACATCGCCATTTGTAGATGCTATAACTTTCATGTAAACCAAATAATTTAAACGTATTGGGATTTTTTTTTTAGCAAAGACATGTAGAATACATTTTGGCCTAAACTCATGAAGAAAAAATTTGATTTTTTTAAATTTTTTTATTGGATATGTTTTATAGCAAAAAGTAAAAAAATTGTTTTTTTTTTTTTCAAAACTGTAAGTCTTTTTTTGTTTATAGCACAAACAATAAAAAACTCAGAGGTGATCAAATACCACCAAAAGAAAGCTTCATTTGTGGGAAAAGAAAAAAAAAAAGGACATACATTTCATTTAGGTGCAGTGTTGCATGAGCACGCAATTGTCAGTTAAAATAACGCGCCGCCATATCACAAAAAATGGCCTGGTCAGGAAGGTGGGTAAATCCTCTGGAGGACAAGTAGTTAAAATTAAAAGTATGCCCAAAGCTCTTTTGGCAATACTTCTCATGTGGGTCACAGGAGTGCATTTACTTGTGACCCAAAATCAGACAACAGCAGGCTAAAGCCCACTGTTGGCTGACATAACAGACCCAATCCAGACTCTGGAGGGATTCTGACAATAATGTCAGGATCCACCCAGATGCCTTACAAGCAGCTGGCTCAGCCCCTCCCATCACCCTGCTGGGAGTCTGAGTCAGTCGTTCCAGCCCCCTCTCCTGCCTGGCGCTCCAGCGATTGCTGGAGGGGCAGAGTAGAGAGACGGTGACTGAAAATCAGAAGATAGCTCAGTTCTTGGGCTTAGAGCTGGCGGGGGACAGCTTGCAGCATCCCACCGGAGCTGCAGCAGCTAGGTAAATGTGTGTTTATTATTTTATATTCCTGCACTTCTTATTAAAGATGAAGTCAAAGAGCTTAATACAGAGTTGAAGTACATTTGAGTACAAGTACATGTGAGCTGTTACCTGGCAAATGATTTTTTTCTTATTTCCAATCATGATATTTGCATAGTATTGATGTGCAGCACAGTCTGGGTTAGTGGCCAGACTTTTCTCTTCTGCAGCTAAGCAATAATGCTTGGTCACCTGTCTGCCCCAGCCTTCATATGTACAGTGAAGAAGCAAAAGACTGATGACTCAGCGCTCTGCTTCTTCCTCTAAGTGCCTTGTAAATGTATGTGTACTACAGCAAAACCCAATCAGCCCCAAGTGCTGTTCCTCACTCTCCCAGTCTGACTGCTGCTGTACAGAGGCTTGGAAGAAGTTGAAGTTAAACTCAAAATGCTTACACTAGCTGCATTCACACAAATTGGTGTTTTTAGCATCTGCTTGGAGTTCAGTTTTAATACAATCCCAAAACATGCATGAAAGTCCCAGAAACATTTCTTTAAAGTGTTGTTCCAAGGTGAGAAGGGAATCTCTCTACCAACGTTACGTGCCGACTATGTCATTCCCACTTGGCGGTGGGGTCACTCTGATATTGAGGGGTCTTGAGTATAGAGTCAATCACTACATGTATAAAGTGTTGTTCCAGCTAAAAAAAAAATAAACAAAAAAGTCAGCAGCGAGAAAAACTGTCGCTGCTGACTTTTAAAATACAGCCACTTACCTGTCCCTCGGTGTCCTCACCACTGCTGGTTTCACTGGTTGTCTTCTCTCCTCTCCCTGGCACCGGCATCT